CAGTTCATGTTGAATGATTTGGTTTTAAAAAACTACATAAAGAAACAAACTCAGACATGAAGAAAGTACATCTGACAAAGTATTTAAGACCCATGTATTTAGCAAGAAGATTTGAGACAGGATTCCCTTAAGCACAGTTTTTCAGACAGTCATTAATTTAGCTAATAGGAAAGTGCCAGGTGTTCACAGTAATATTATCTCACTAGAGAAAAGCCTTTATACCCTGGTTGACTAATAAAGTCCTCCCACTTCCACATAACTCTTGAATCACAGAGTAAGCATGCCCAGAACTGTTTTTAAACACATCAACTAACTCTTCTACACATTCATGTCTCTATTAAGTAACTATCGCCATACCTGTTTGACAATCTGAAAAGGTTAACCTCAGCACTGTAAGGTCCAAAGTTACATTCCATATGGAAGAATAGCCAGACATTATATATCACTTTCAATGACTGTACAGCACAGGAAAAGCCTGACTAGACTTTTGAATTTATAGATGCTAGTCACCACTAGCCTTTGATACTGGCCTTTTCTTAAAATATCAACTTTTTCTGAGCATTTCTAGGTTCTATCTGAGCCTTCTTAACTCAAATGTATTTTATATTTGATCTAATCAAAAGAATCAGAGAATATATAACAAATGAGGAGGATATCATTACAGAAATCCCATTTTATCAGGTCATCACAAAGGGGAACTTGGGGTAGTCAGCACACAATCAGGTCTAACCCAGCAGCAGTATAGGACATACCTACAGATGCAGCACTAACAGCAGCTGAGTGGTCACCACCTCAAGCAACATCTGTCAAGCATTTGTGTGACTTAGTAGCAGAGTTCACAGCATTTTGGATAATTATACTCCTAAAATTTACCTTTAGTAAAACAAAATCCAGCTCAACAGGGTTGGAGGAGACACTGGTACCCAAACATTAAAGCAAATGGCCCAGGGCCACCTCCCAACATTAGCAACCTTACTGATATATTTGAGATCTTCAACGGAACCCATGAAAATAGAAAGATCTTTCTCCCAAATTCTTTCTGATTCTATTAACTTTAAACCTTCTCTTCCTCTTTAAATCCCCCTCCCAAACATCCCTGTCTTGTCTGGATCAGTGATTCAGTCATCCATAATCTGGCTCCTCTAAGTAACACATATCTGTCTATTACACTGTACATGTACTGGAAACAGATCAAGAAATCACACTGCTTTCAAGCCTTCAGCTAAATGGGCAGCCTTGCAGTTCCACCAACTTTCAAAGCTGACACTGCCAGTTATCTCCACAAACACTCAAAGGCTCACTGGTGCCAAACAGGATGGCCCTGCAAGGAAGTTCATGGACTGTAAATGTTATGTGGTGTCATAACAAGCAATTATGTGCCAAGACTCCTGGGCTGACGTTAACCACTGAAAGACAACTTGGGAAATGTGGTGAGTCCATCCTCGTGAAACTGGAGCTCCCAAGGAGCACAGCATTTAACACTGCCATCCAGAAGCCTTTGGGGAAGAAAACCTGGATCTTTATAAAGCTAAAGATGTTAATCACAGACTCCCTTCTATAACTCTAGGCTCCAATAAACACAACCAGAGTTACCAGCCAAGCAAAGCCAGCCATTACGTTTACCACTTATAGCATATGTAGAACTCAAAACAAAGCAGGTTACGATAGTACAATGAAGGACAACTCCAAGGTGCACCTATATCATCTGTACTGTCCTATCTGAATGACTACACCTCACTGTGTGACACAAAGAAGGAAGACAAAGCAGCAGGGAAGGGCAGAAGCACTTCTGGAGGAGGCGAGAAACATGGCAGCAACATTTACCTTGGTAAACAGACCTGTAAAGCTAGGTCCTTGCTTTATTTCTTTTCTCCCATATTCTATCCTAATTCAACACAGCAGTTCATTCCTCCAGTTCTGGGTGTCTCGAATAAGAATAAGAATAAAACGAAAGAAAAATCTCATTAATAAGGAACTTTCCATTAAAGATTTGTAGCATGTACAAAAATGTCAATTTGACAGAGAAGCCATTCAATTCCTGGCTCTCCTGCCATTCAGTTCTCTCTCTAACAATAATCTCTAAGAGTCACAATGCAGTGAAGCTTTCATACACACAGCCTCATTCAATCCTGGCGGCAGCTCTGAGGGATGCAGAAGATTTCCACAGCAAGCCAAGGCTGTGTGGTCACTCAGTTGGCTTTGAGTGGGGAAGTTAAATGCAAGCCTTGTGTTCAGCCATGTCCTGCCTATACTTATCCTTATACCTGGAATAATGGAGGAGGCCCTTTCTGTTCAATACAGCTCAAATTCTTCCACCTCAGATCACATACCCTTGCTGTTTTGAAAGGTGACTTTTAGAATGAATCGCCATAATGGCTGAGCAGACTGACTCCCTGAACCACCAGGCTGGCTACAAGCCAGGAGTCAGATACAGGGTCGGGAGCCAGCGGTTAAAAGACAGAGCACTGGCTCAATCTGCTAACATTACAGAAGACCTGATTCAAAGCACTGCTGACATGGAGAACTGGCCTCAGAACACACTGCCATTATTAAGGGAGAGCAAGCTAGCACTGAAATCAAAGGGAATGCCTTCTCCCGATTTTCAGAGCAACTAGCTCACTCTGGTGGAGAGAAAACTCAACTACGCAGCCACAAGCTCATACCACCTCACTACAGCACTTAGGAAACTGAGGAGGGCAGTGGACCTTCATGAGCAAACCTGAAATCTACTTGGCTTATCATTAATGACCCAAACTGAATCAGCAATGCTCCATCTGCACGTCTGTTACCTGGGGAGGGAGTATGAGAGGCGTCTTAAGCACACATCAAATACAACCACAGAGCTCACTGAAAACAATAGCGCGCACACACACACACACACACACACACACACACACACACACACACACACATCCATACTCAGAACCAATAGTCTAGTTTATAAAGTAACAATGGCAATTTTTCACTCTGTACAAACTAAACTCTAACAAAGCTACTTAATAAACAAAAATACTTAATAAATTATTCTTAATGCCTACTGTATCACTATATCACATGGTTTTTAAAAAAGGAGTGGAAAGCAGCTGACTAGACTGCTTGAAGACAATTTTCAAGAATTGATGCAGAAGAGACCATAGCTACTTCAGTCTGAGGTAAAAATGGCTCCTGTACTCAGTGAGAGCAGTAAACCAAACCCCAAATGACCACCAACAATACAGCCCAGATGACCCCCAATCATGAGAGAAATATATCACAGGATACAGCAGCCAGCGATTTCCATGTACAAGAAAAGTGTAATGGTCTGTGCCTGCTCCTGTGAAAGATTTCAACCTACACTACAACCTAAAACAAAGATGGCAAGATCACAGCCACAGTACCTTTTGTGTAAACCATCTTAAATCAAATATTTAGATGTGGTATCTGTACTTTAAAAATATCCTAGGCTGTGAGTACAGCTAGGGGAAGATACAGATTGGGAGTAAAGTGTGGTCAACAAAAAAATAAATTAATTTGAAATACACTCAAAACTGTTAACAGTAGTTGCATTTAGGAGAATAAACTTGGGGAGGGAAAGAGTAATTGAATTTTTATTTTTACTCTTTGTGGGGGGGCACTACCCAGCTCCTAAATAAATACACAGAGACTAAATAAATAGTCAGCCTTAGCTTGGCTTGTTTCCAGCCAGCTTTTCTAATTTAAATTATCCCATTTTTCTTTAACTATGTTTTTCCTCTGGCTGGCCCCTAGTGTCCTCCTCCTCTCCTTTTCTTACTCTTCCCTCTTCCCTTTTCTTGAGCCTAGATTTCTATTCTCCTCCTCTTTATTCTCTCTGCCTGGTAGACCTTCTTATCCCTCTCTTGCCTAGCTACTGGAGTTCAGCTCATTATCAGACAATCAGGTGTTTTAGGCAGGCAAAGTAACACAACTTTGCATCATTAAACAAATATTCCACAGCATAAACAAATCTTAAATTTTAATACATCTTAAACTAATATTGCACAACACGAAAGTTTATATTCCATTTAATATTCTTCAGATTATATATACATATAAATATATATGTGTGTGTATGTGTGTGTATATATATATACACACATATATACTCTTACCTATGTACTCCTTTCATTAAATGCTGAAATTTAATTTTAGTATATAAGAAAACCCAAATTGGCCATTCAGACAATGTGGGATTCCTGCTCTGACTGTTATGACTCTACTATACAGATTTAGAACAACCAGCTTGTGTTGGAGTCAATGATGAGAACATATGCACCCACGGACTCTGGATAATGGTTGTGTTCACATGGGACAGTCACCTCTTGTGGCTCATAAAATCCCCACCTCAGCATTCTCCAGTACAAACTGTTTCACCGTGCTCTGGAAACTGATGGACAGACAGCTATTCTGGCTCCCTCATACCTCTACGCAAGAATACACTGGAAACTGATGGACAGACAGCTATTCTGGCTCCCTCATACCTCTACGCAAGAATACACAGAGGAGGCTACATATAATTCATTCACTAGAGCGAGGGAATGAGTCTGTGTCTCCCTTACTCACACTCATGAGTCCTCAGCACAGAGGCATGGTTATAACTCTCAGATTCCTCAACTATGAATGTTGTGTGTCAATACCCTTAATTTTCTAAAAATGGAATCAATTAAAAACTTAAAAGGACTCCACTGAGTCTCAGGTAAAATCTACTTCATAAGAATTTTTCAACAAACATAAACTGAATGATTTAGTGTGGAATTTTCAAGTATATGACTAAGACCTGGACCCTGTGCTAGCAACACTGATTATGGTCCCACACAGTTCAAATCTACCAGCAAAGAAAAACAAACACACAAGGCAGAATTAGCTACTAAAAATCCCATTTTTACAATGAAAGGCAATTAGAATCATATGCCATACAGAATGAAAGGCAGCGGCTTGGCACAACAATGAGAGTTTTAAAAATCACAAATGAGCACAATGAAAAAATGATTTGAGTTTCTTACCCAATGCAGTATCATCTCCTTGCTCTTGGCTCTTTCCCAAAGAGGCCATCATTTCCGCATGTGCATCATTCCACCAAGGACTGTACTTCAAAATCTGCTCAACAGCCTCATCTTCAAAGAAGTCAGCTCTGCTCAAAAACAAATGGGCTTGTTACATCAGATTACACTGCTTTTTTCTCTTTTTATAATCTTAACTTATCACATTTACACAGTAATAGCTATTTCATCAGACAGACAGAGAAGACAGACTTTCTTTATGGTTACTCATTTCATAAAGCAAAAGGCACCCTAACTAAAGGAACAGTAGTAGTTTCTGATCTCTTACACAGAAAGCACATAGAAGAGCTGTCCTACCCTGAGGTCTCGTCCTATCCCAGTGGAGCTGAAGTGAATCTGAACACTGACTATGCTGCAGTCTAGAACCAATGCTGGGTTTGCGAGCAGCACAGATGTGAGTGATATTATGACAAAGGGCAGACCTTTCAGACCCAGCCACAAAAAAGCAAACAGATAAGCGATGAGCAGGTAATTCAGGACACTGCATTTCCACAAAGAGGCTGAGGACAGACGGACACAACACACACACACAACACACACACACTGAAACACACTATTCAGCATGAATACTTTTTACTAAAATGCCAGCTACTTTACTTAGCTATGCTAATCTTAACAGTTCCTTGATTTAAAATTATTGAAAACATTTTTTGTAGAAATGACAAAACACCATTCTTTGGGAGTTTCCTGTACTTTCTCAGTTTATACTAGAAAAATTAAAGATACATTCAAAATATACCTCTAGCTCTTTTTAGACAACACATTCAGAAATCACACACTCTAGTCTTCAATGTTGAAAATTGGTATTCTAGGGGACAGGGGAGGGGAGAAGGGATTGACATGTAAAACAAGCTTGTTTCAAATTTAAATAAAAAAATATTATCATAAAAAAAATTGGTATTTTAAGTCTTCCTGAAGTTTCCATGTATACTAGAAACTCAGGGAATCAGTTGCTTTCATAAGCACCAGTGGTTTAATAACCTCACACACTCTACTTTTTTCAACTAGGAAACTGCAATCTTTTTAAAATCTGAAAGACTACAGATCCCCACGGAGCTGCCAGTATGCTGTAGGCACTTATGCAGAGTGTTTTGCATCCATGATTCCCTCCTCTCCTCCCAGAATCATCTGAGAAGGATGCTACTAAAACTCTCCCTTTACATGTGTGGAAACTGAAGCCCAGAAAAGTGACATATCTTGGCCAAGACTGAAAAGAAACAGTAAGAAGGCTGATCAGACGGCTCAGCAGGTATGGATGCCTGCTCCTTTGATGGCAGAACCAGTATGGTAGACGAAAAGAATTGACTCCCACAGGTGTCCTGACTTCCACATACGTGCTATGGCATGTACAAACCATTCCCACACACACAAAACTAATTAAAATTTCATTTAAAGATTAAACAAGGGGCTGGAGAGATGGCTCAGTAGAGAGTACTAGCTGCTCTTCCAGAGGTCCTGAGTTCAATTCCCAGCAACTACATGATGGCTCACAGCCATCTATATCAGGAGATCTGGTGCCTTCTTCTGGCCTGCAGGCATACATGCAGGCAGAACACTGCATACAAGATAAATAAATAGATAAAACTCTTTAAAAAAAAAAATTAAACAATGCCAGTCATGGCAGTGAACACTATCCCAGCACTTGGTGGATCTCTGTGAGTTCAAGGCTGGCCTGGTCTACACAGTGAGTTACTAAGCTATACAGAGAAAAAAATAAATATTAAAAAAAAAAAAAAAGTAAATTCAGCTGAATGTGAACACTCAAGTTCTACACCAGAATCAAAGTTCTTAACAAGCATAAACATCCGGGGGCTATAGAATTGGTTCGGTGGTAAAAACACTCGTTGTTTTACAGTGAAGCTTGGTCTGACTGCCAGCACCTACATGGTGGCTGACAAACACCTGTAAATCTAGGAGATCCAACACCTTCTTTTGACCTCTGTGAACACCAAAAACATGTAATGGTAACCATACATCCATGCAGGCAAAACAGCTATAAGCATTAAATTAATCTTTAAAAAATTAAAAATACATTCATTTTTATGTACAAGGAAACAAAATACACATTGGACCAAACTGAATAGCTATTATCTTAAAGTAAAACTTTTACTATCCATTTCTGTTAGGAGCACAAGCATACAGAGTAGGATTATGCAGCAGTTCAATTAACTAGCCCTGCAAATCTGTTTCCTTATGAAGTGTCCCCTCCTCCTCCGGGAGCAGGTACACCTGTTCTAACTGTAGGCTCTACTACAAATTCAGCCACCTATCAGAATGTGAGCTTCTTCTAAGAACTGAGTGTCAAAAAAGTAAGCAGGAAGAGTAAATGTTCTGTCCTACTAACTACCTGACTCATTCACACAAGTGATGGTGCTCACAAGCCCTCTTTGCCTGAGAAGTGTAGCCCTCAAAAAAGGAGCTTTTCTATGAAGCAGATGGAAAGCACCACAGAAAATCACAACTGGCCAAAAGACAGAGAAGAAATGATTGAGGGGTACCTATCCCCAAGGACACAATCACACCTAAAACTCAGGAACATGCTGAAGACAAGGTGGAAAGAGCCACAGGACCAGAGAGTCTGCTTTATACCATGTCTCCTACAAAGAACAGGGAAGCCACACTCCTGATATTATAACAATATGGATGCCTAAACAACACCCAGACAATGACAACATTCTAAAGTGGTCCCACCCTAGACAAGGTATCTGAGAAGAGGAAAATCAGTCTTCCCCAAGAGGAGCCCCCAAGTGGCTATCCAATATAAAAAGATCAGCCCTAAAATCACATACATAGAAGCAACTGTAAACAGACTTAACAGGCTCTGTGTGTGTGTGTGTGTGCGCGCGCACACACACACATGCGCGGAAAGAGAAAAACAATAAAGAAGAAAAAGAGACCATAAATTGGAAAGAGAATACAGAGAAAGGTATCAGAAAAGAAGAAAAGGTCAAGGGAAGACTTGAAGAAAGAAAAGGAAAGGTGAAAATGACAGAATACATTTTAATTAAAATTTTAAATATTATCAAGAAAAAAAACAAGGAATGACTTTGTGTCATATTCTAAGCTCCACGTTAGGCACTAGATTTCCTCTGTTCACTAAATACAGACTGCCCTGGCCCTCATACAATTTATAGTCCCACCTGAGACTCAAGTACAGCAAAATGTGACACAGCAGCATAAAATCCTATAGCAGTATAAAACTGATGTGACATTCTAGAGCCTTGGGGGAAATATTATTTCAACTGACAGCTGAAAGACAATTAAGAATTTGCATTAAGAGAGTCGAAGAGAAGCTGCAGAGAGGGCTCAGCGGTTAACAACAGGCACTGCCTTTGGAGAGGACCTGACTTTGGTTCTCAGACCCCATACAAGGCAGCTCACAATCACGGAAAACTCCACTCTAAGGAGCCACCTCCTTCTTCTGGTCTCTATAGGCACTGCATTCCTGTGCACAAACACACACAGATCACCTGTGGATGTACAATTTAAACTAGAAAATAAAATCTAAAAAAATAATAGGCTTAGGAGAGAGTAGCCTGAGTGCAAAGGATAGAAATACCTAGAAAACAAAGTTCACATTGAAGAAAAACTGCCAAGATAGATTGAAAATAAGATACTAATAACAATAAACCTTCCAGGCATGTCTAACCCATGGTCTATGGGCTGCATACACCTCAGGGTAGCTATCAATCAGACCCAACACAATAATGTAAAATTGCTTACACACACACACACACACACACACACACACGTAACTCATTACCTACTTCTTGCCTGTGAACTGTGTAGGTAACAAGATCAAGACAAAGGAATTACCCCTAGGGTCACTGAATACAGGGCATGCAGCTTAAAGGGGCAATTCCAAAGAAGCAGAAACTGCAAGAACAGGATGGAAGCAGAGGACAGGGAGCCAAGTAGATGATTTGACTCATAGGTAGAAGGCAGGGTACTCAAGAAGTAGGGGCTGAGGAATTTTGAGAATCAAAGCAATGGCCAGGACTATAGCTCAGCAATGCAGGGGACAACAGTGCCCTTCATGGAGACAGTGCCACAGGAGGTTGAAAGGCATGAGGAAAGGGAAAATAGCTTCTGCCTGAGACAGGTTTAGTTTGAGGTATCCATCTAGAGCATATAAAGATACTCTTGTCCAATAGGCAGCTGGACACACAAGTCTGATACTCAAGAGCGAGGCACAGTCATAAGCATTGTGACCAAGGAAGAGGAAAGAATCATGCAGGAAGAAGTGGTCCCCTGACAGAGGACACAGACACACTGAAGACACAGGAAAAGAGCTTGCCTGAAGAGGGACTCATGAGAGAAAAGGCAAGCTGGCTTGGTAAAATGGCACCCCAACCACCTACCTCCACCCCAGTAAAAACCCTCCAAAATGACAAACTGGTCACTTTGAATAAAAATTCTCAGATGCCATTCCAAGAATCCAAACTGTGATGGGTTACTCTGTGTTCACTTTTCTACTGTACTGGAGACTGACTCTCATGTTTCATACACTCTGGGCAAGTGTTCCACCGCTAAGCTATAGCCGTATGTCCCTAGCCTGCTTTTTAGTTTTCATTTTGAGATGGTCTTACTAAGTTGCCTAGATGGCTTTGAACTCATACAATAGTTCAACCTCTAAACCTTACAGTTGCTTCTTCACAGTCCTCATTACTGCCCTAGCCTCCAATGTTCCTAGGATTGTGGACCAGTTCCAGAAAATGGTTTATCTTTACACTTTTAGTAATTAAGAGTTGAATGAATGTGATTTGTTACTTTCCACAATCAACAATTCTCATAATTTAAAATGCCACTGCAATGAATGTCCTCCACACACACAGCAACAGCAAGACCAACACCCTGCCACAAGGGCTCTGATACTTAATCGGAACCATGGGCACAAATGCAGACATTTAGAACACAATATGGATTTAAAAAAAAAAGTATGCTGCACAGGAGAGCACTGAGGAGGACATCCTCACCCGGCCAAAGGTGGAAGGTCTATGGCAGTGATGTCTGAGCACAGCCTTGAAGGTCAGTTATTCACGAAATGAGGCAGGGAGAAAAAGCTAGCAAAGGGCCAGCATGTGTGGAAGAAGTGCATGAGAAGCAATGGAAATGCAAACGTCAGCTGTTGCTTTGGTTTATAAACACGGGCAGGACAGGCAAAGGTAAACTGACAGGAGGAGCAGGGTCCAGATCACAGAGAACATTTGAGATCGCAATAAGAAGAGGGACGCTTCTTTCTGAAGCCAAGAAGCACCGAGCATGGGTTGAGGAAGACTTCACTAGAGCAGCAAGCACCAGGCTGCTGACCTCACAGCTGACAGAGCTGATCAAGTCCAGACCGAAGGCCATCAGGCAGTCAGGAGAAGGCACCTAGAAGCCATGCAAGAGGAGCGCCAGAAACATGTGGAATAGAAGAAATCAGAGACAAATGGCCACCCCTTCCAATTTCCCAAATCCTAGGAAATTTACTCAAAACATCACAAATAAATAAATAAGTGTATCAACCTCTTTAAAAAGTCCTAATAATGAAAATACACCACAATTTAAAATGACATTCCAAAAAAGATTTGGTTGTTTTGTTTTGTTTTTTCATTATCTCACAGATGTTTAAAATGTTGATTAAATCCTTCTGTTCTCACCAAAGAAATAAGCAAGATTTTATAAATTGGTTATGATATATACTTTTTCCAAGAATCAAAAATGTAGAAAGAAAAAAAGTAATATCTTAATGAAAAGAAATACATACATTCTGCCATACACAAAGGTGAAAGAATACTTGAAGATGCTATCTACAGACTTGAGCAAATGGCTCAAAGGTAAAAGTGCTTGCTACCAAAGCCTGATGACCCATGACTGAGACCAGGAAACCATGGTGGAAAAAGAGAAGACCAATACCTAAAAATGTACTCTGACACTTGATCACATGGTATACACCTGCACTCAAACACACATGCGAGAATAAATAATTCTAAAATAATATCCAAAAGGAGTGAATGATTAAAAAAGAAAAATCAGAAACAAGGAGATTTACAGATCACCATGAACATTACTTCCTCAGGCTGCAGAACATCCTAAAAGAATAATCAAACTGCATCAGATCCTGATTTTGAAAACAAATTTTAAAATAGTCATAACCCAAAAGTAGCTAGATTTTGCTTTGAAATGTATAAATTCCTCTTTATTAAACAGATGGCCCCATTCTGTCCTGCTTAGGGAAAAACCATATTTGTTTTTCAAACCTGACATTACCACTCCACTAAGAACCACTCTGTGGAAAGAATATTCCACAGAAACTATTAAGGGAAATGAGTTTCTGGAGCCAGTGAGATGGCTCAGTAGGTAGAGGCACTTGTCAAGCCTGAGTTCAATCCCTGGGAACCCACATGCATGGGTCTTGCAAGTTGTTCTATGATCTCCACATTTGTTATGACATGTACACATGTACACACACACATATACATGTACACACACATACACACACACACACACACCTCACACCTCACTCTCTTAAATGTAATTTAAAATTATTTAAAGAAGAAAAGCTTCTGGAAAAAGCAGCAGCACAGGAAATGGAGGAAATCGGGGACGGCTTTGACTATCATGCTGCCAACTATAAATTTCAATATCCTAATCCTCTCAGGCCACAAGCATACTCTCCTAGGCAGTTCTTCTAATTAAGCTCCCTCCCACTTGAAATTTCAGCCTTGAACAGCTCATTCTGTTTTCATACTGGCTGAGAAATTTGCTGACAATGAAATTCCTACTTTAAATATTCAGCATGATTCTAAATGGGTTTCTTCAAATTACTCTTCAGTGGACCTTTAAAACCACCATTGAAGAGATAAAAGTAATTAGAAATGGCAGTCTAAATGGAGCCGAGTCTCTCAGATGTCCTCCACCGTATAGCACAACCCAGCTTCCCTTAGGATGCTCAACAGTTCAGCCATTCATCACCACCACACATCACTCATTCCATTTGCACATCACAAGATTCACTTCTGCTATTCCAATTAGTATCCCACTGGGTCACAGGAGAGAGAATGTTAATCACAAGAGCAATGTCAGTTAAAGTGTAATAGTGTACATAAAAGGGAAATACAGAGTGACAAACAGCCTCTTTTCAAGTTTTACCCAACCCACTTAGTAGTAGTGTGACCTTGGGCAAGTCCCTTCACCTCTTTACTCCTTGTGAAAATGAAATGAAACAATCCTAATGGGACTTGATAAGCTGAGAACATTGTACAAAAATATTGAGAAGTTGTGATTATAGTTATATGGGTAATAGTTTTGAAATCACTGGCCCAGAGCCTGAGAAAAATAATAAATGAGGGCTACATCAACATAAATTACATTCACTCTCCACATACCCAAGAAAAGCCAGGTATTAAGAGGCCCAGTGGAAATGCAAACCCATGCTGCTATCTTGGCTAGTGAGAGACAGCACATCTCTGCTTTGGTAAGTTCCTCATGCAAATATAGTTCTGATAACAGCAAAGGTTACAACAGATGCAGGTGGAAAATACAGCAGAGCTAACATTAGGTTCTAATGATACTCTGCCACAGAATAACTATCTATTCACTGCAGGTAAATATTCTAGGAAGATCCCAGTCTAGCAAGAAATATAGCACATGTAGACCTGGATCCTTATGGAAATCAAGATATATTCATACATAGACAACCATGACAAAAATTCTACCTGAAAGAAGTACAAACAAATACTCCTATGAAGTTGATGTTTGGAAGCCTGGTGAGGAAACCGCTAGAGTATTAAGAGTTTTCCACTGCTAATATAAACTAAGTAGCAAGTTCACAAAGGCCACACAAGTACAGCCATCACAGATTAGGTGAAATGTGAACTACGGTTAGTGCCTTCATTAATTCCAGGATCTAAAACACATGTGTCTAAGACACTGAGGGGCTGGGGAGATGGCTCACTCAGTGGAGCGCTTGCCATATAAACAAGAGGACCTGAGTTCCCCAGCACCTTCCCAGCACTACAGCCCAGTGCACGGAATACAGAAACAGGTGGATTCATGGCCAGGCCTGATAGGCCAACCTAGTGAGGGACCCTGTCTCTGGAAATAAAGCAGACTGATTTAAGAAGTCACCCATAGTCAAGGTTTAGCCTCCATGTGCACATGTACACATAACTACACAATCACATACATATATTCGAATATTCTGAAAAAAAATAAGGAAGTGTTAAATAACTATTTAACTGCCACAAAAGTTAATACTCACAAATAATGATCGGAGTCAAATTTGGCCAGCTCAGCAGCTAAACGTTTTTGCCTTCGTTCAGTCACAGGAGTAAAATCTGGATCCTTAATATCAATAACTTCACTCAGTTCATCCTAAAAACACCAGAACAAGAATGAACACTATTGCCAATCCTTAGCATTTAATAATCAAATGGGAGGGGGAGGGATGGGCAGCAGAACTAGAGAGATGGCTCAGTGGTTAAGAGCACTCGCTGCTTTTTCCAGAGGACCCAGGTTCAATTCCCAGCACACACACACACACACACACACACACACACAGCAGCTCAAACTGTCTGTATCTCCATTTCAGGGAATCTGGTACCCTCACACTGATACACATGCAGGCAAACCACTAAAGCACATAAAAATATATAAAATAAACAGGGCATGGTGGTGCATGCATTTAACCCTAGCATTTGGGTGGCAGAGGCAGGTAGATTTCTGAGTTCAAGGCCAACCTGATCTACAAAGAGGCAGGACAGCCAGGGCTGTTATACACAGAAACCCTGCCTCACAAAATTAGCAATATTTAATTAGAAATATTTAAATTTACATCTAACAAACAGGTGTGGTGGTGCTCCCAACACTGGGGAAGCAGAGGTGAGCAGATTTCTGAGTTCAAGGTCTACATAGCAAGCCCCAAGCCAGCCAGAGCTATACAATGAAACCTTGTCTCAAAATACAAAAAGAAAAAAAAAAAAAAGCCACAAATGTTTGAATTTATTATTCTATAGACTGCTAGAAACCTCCATATAAACTAACCCTTTTTAACCCATAAAACAAACTAACCAGCATATATTAAAGCTATTAACATTGAACACAAAAGATCATGGTGCTTGCCACCAAGCCTGACCACCTAATCCCTAGGACCTATAAAGTAGAAAGGGAGAAAACTCCCAGAAGTCATCATCATGACTCCACATCCTGTGGCATACAACTCCCACCATGAGCATGTGTACAGACACGTACACACACACAAAATCTTTGACACTAAAAGCAGAATTGAATAAACCCTTACAAACATACAGAAACATTTAATGCTCTATTCATTTCCCTTTTCAGGCCTAAAGATCTGAAAGTTGCTGAAGACAGGAGGGTCTGAGTATCCAACATCTACAGAGACTTGACTTTCTTCCTACTGTCTAGCTCTAAGAATGAAATCCTGTACAGTCTACTCTGCAAATATGCTTGCCTTGCAGACCCGATGACCCAAGTTCAATTCTGGAAGCTACACAGAGATAGATGAAGAAGACCAACTCCATGAAGCTGTCCTCTGACCTCGATTGCCACAGGCACACATTAATAAGAAAAAAAAAATTGAAGAATTTTTATGAGTAATTCTGATGTCTTTGATTTTCCACTTGAAACTTCAAAAATCTAATCCTAAAAATCACCACCTACCTACATTTACACTAGAGTACTACTCAGTGGGGGGGGGGGGAACCAACGGAATCTTGAAATTCACAGGCAAAAGGATGGAACTGAGGGAGGTAACCCAGTCACAAGAAGACAAACATGGTATGTACTCAACTCAGATATGTATTTTAGACACAGAATAAAGGATCACCAGTCTACAATCCATACCACCAGAAAAGCTAGGAAACAAGGAGGACCCTGAGAGACATACTGGATCCCCCAGAGAAGGGGAAAGGGACAAGATCTCCTGAGCAAACTGGGAGCATGGGGGAAGGGGAGAGGGAGTTTGGAGAAATAGAAGGGGAGAAGAGGAGGGGAGAGGAGGACATGAGGGAGAAGGAAGATTGAGTCAGGGGAAGAATAGAAGAGAGCAAGAAAAGAGATACCACAATAGAGAGAGCCATTATAGGTTTAAAGAGAAAGCTGGCACTAGGGAAATGTACAGAGATCTACAAGGATGACCCCAACTAACAATCTATGCAATAGTTGAGAGGCTCCCTTAAATGCCCTTCCCCAATAATGAGATTGATGACTATCTTATATGCCATCCTAGAGCCTTTATCTAATAGCTGATGGAAACAGAAGCAGACACCCACAGCTAAACACTGAGCAGAACTCCTGGAATCCAGCTGCAGAGAGGGAGGATTGATGAGCAAAGGGGTCAAGGCAAGGCTGGAGAAACACACAGAAACTGCTGACCTGAACAAGGGGGAGCTCATGGGCCCCAGACTGATAGCTAGGAAACCAGCATAGGACCGACCCAGACGTGAATGTGGGTGTCAGTTAGGAGGCCTGTGTAGTCTATGGGGTCTCTGGTAGTGGATCAGTATTTATCCCTATAGGGATGGACTTTGGGAGCCCATTCCACATAGAGGGATACTCTCTCAATCTAGACACATGGGGGATGGCCTAGATCCTGCTCCAAATGACATGACTTTGAAGATCCCCCATGGAAGGTCTCACCCTCCCTGGGGAGCAGAAAGGGGATGGGATATGGGGTTGGGGGAACAGGGGAGGAGGGGAGGGAGAGGGAACAAGGATTGACATGTAAAACAAGCTTGTTTCAAATTTAAATGAAAAAAAAATCACCACCTATCTTAATGAAGATATATATATATATATATATATGTATGTATATACATACATATATATATACATACATATATATATATATATATGAACATGTAGCATGTTTCCCAAGAGAATGCTACAGAACTGACATATGTAGGAATTGTGAAGTGAAGAAACTTCATACAATCCAAAGTATTTCCCAAACTGTGGCTTTCTTCTTCGTCTACTTCCCACATCTACTATCAACTCTAGGTATGAGCACAGAACTGGAGGAAACATCAAGATGTAAGCAGAAAGAAATCAAACAATAACCTGGGAGAGTTAAGCATACGAACTGTTATGAAAGATGTACAAAGAGAATAGACAGCAGTAAAGTGAAACACATACACAAAAAGAAAACAGAGTGACAGAGTTGCTTTTCAAGTCAGTAGTCCTAGGATCTTGAGCAAGTACCTTCACTACTTCTGTCATTAAAAAAAAAAAAAAAAAAAAAAAAACCCACAGAATGAAACACTCATATGAGAGCACTCTGAAACTTTGAAACTAACCCCAGAATACAACACTACTAAAACTAAAGTAAGCTACGGGGAGTCATAAGGGCCCAGCTTTCCTACATAACCATAATTTCCAAAAAAAAAAAAAAAAAAAAAAAAAAAAGTTCTTGGGCCAGAGTATGACTCAGTGGGTAATGTGTCTGAGTTCAAGCCCCAGGACCCTCATGGTGGAAAGAGAAAGAACTGACACCCAAAAGCTGTTGTAAACCTTGGCATGTAAACAGGCACACATACCCACACTAAATAAATACCTAAGTTTAAAATTAAAATAGATAGGTCTTAACACAAATGCATTCAAAAACAACAAAGGGATCCAGTGACCTTTTTGGAAGCCACTGGATCAACTAGAATATCTTAATACTTTCAAATACAAACATTTGAGGCAACAACCAGGCTAATGGCTGTCTACAAACATAAAATTTACATTCCAAAGTTCCTTTGCAATTTACTTTTTGGAGACTTGGAATGAATTTTACTACAGAAATCCTATTATAAATAGTAGTTAAGAGTCTCAGGGCAGCCCTCAAGTTTATACAATTCATAATAAATTGAAACAGAACACTGACGATGCAAAGAGCTTAACAAGCACACAGAGAAGTTTCCATGGGAAAAACTTGCAGTCTCTGGAATAGAACCCACCAGAACATCTCCTCCCTAGCAGCACAGCATCGGTTCTTCCTCCCTCCATTTCCTCACTGAAATCCTAACTCAGCCACAGGCTAGGGTTCATGTGGACAAAGACCTCAGGAGGGGAGGCAGGACAACGAATCTACAGGGCTTGCCTTGGTTGAATACCACTAATGGGAGCCATTTCCTTCCCTTGGACTGCAATCTACAACATGATGGCAGTCTCCCTCAGTTCCTTTCATCACATGGCCTGATTTCCCCACTCTGTGATTAGAGTGGGCCCACATACAAAATCCACATCCACATCATCTTTAATCACAGTTGCAAAGTTCTTCTGCCATGTAATGTAAAATCTTCACAGGACAGTTAATCACATGACATCTTTTTGTTCTTCTTGGGGAAGAGGGCAGCATTCAGAGACACAGGCTTTTATTAGTACTAAACAATATAATACAGGCCTAAATACAATCACTAATGTCTGATTCCCTTTTCTTTCGGTCTCCATTTCATGGCTGTTCCCTGTTACTCGCTGGCTTCCTACTGAAAACACAAATCCTCCTTCCATTGAGTAAGGGAGAAGGGGATAGGAGGGAACAGAACAACTATTTAAGACTTAAGGCCATGAATGGACTATAATCTGGGAGGACTGACAGAAAACTGTGTTTCAGAGTAAATGGACTCTCAGAACCCAGATTCCTAACTCTACATCATCAAGCCATCTTGCTTTTCAAATGGATGCCAGACTCTCTCTCTGGCCCAAGTCCATTAGAGCCACATACTAGATTTCTTTGCATTTATGGAACATAAACATCAATCTACACTCTGGCCCTTTGCATCTACAGTATCCTTCTCATAAGCCCTTTGCATCTCACATGTCATCCTCCAAGGGGCTGCCTCTGGGCACCCTAGTCAAAACAATCCCTCGGCTCACATACCACCCTGTTTTCCCCCACATAGTAATGGCCTTGCTCAAACTGAACCTTAATAAGGAACTAAAGCATCCAGGCAGTGGTAGCATGCCTCTAATCCCTGCACTTTGGAGGCACAGGCAGGTGGTCTGAGTTCGAGGCCAGCCTGGTCTACAAAGCAAATTCTAGGACAGCCAGTGCTACACAGAGAAACCCCATCTCAAAAAAAAAAAAAAAAAAAAAAAAAAGAAAGAAAGAAACAAAGAAACAAAGAAAGAAAGAAAGAAAGAAAGAAACTAAAGCACACTAAAAGGCAGGTAAGTTTTGAATGTGAAAGGTCCTTCAGATGCTTTGCAGTTATTTGTTCCCCATGGAGTTGCATACTTTGTGGAGGTTGTAGGACCCTTAGGAGGTGGGGCTTAGCTGGTAGAAGTAAGCTAGCAGATCCTTACAGGTTTATTATCCCCATCTACTTTCTGTCTTACAAGGCCTCCTGGTTCTGAGATGTGAACAGCCTCTGCCACAAGTAATCATCGCCATGAATACACTACTCTGGCATGCCTTCCCTATCATGATGGACAGAAAACATGAAGCAAAATCTTCCCTCACTTAAATTGCTCCTATAAGGCACTGTAGTAAGAATAATGGAAAGCTAATGCATGAAGTCAGACTGGGATCTAAAGTAAGGCATGGCTGGAGACACTGCTTGGTGGTAGAACACTTGCCTAGCATGCATGTGGTCCTGTATTCAATCCTCAGCACTATAAAAGAAGAAGTCTGAGGCATCAATCAACCAAAGGAAAGGAAGAAACGAAAATGAACTTCAGCAGGAAGAAAAGAATTCTTTTCCTGTTTCAGAATTGCTGTGGTCACTAGTTCTGAGTGATCTGCAGATAAACACTGCCAGGAAAAGGTCATGGAGGATTTAAGCCAGGCTTGTGTACACTTAAATCACAGATCAAACAGGAGCCAATCCGGAAAGAAAATGAACTGTGTGTGCATCTGGCCAATGTGTCTCCTGGAGACAAAGGCCTCAGGTCTGAAGCAGCCAAAGGAAAGCAAGGGCCAGAAGGCTTGGCATCCTGCAACTAATGCTGTCTCAAGAGACGGCTGGCTGGGATGGCGCCCAGAGACTCCAGGATTGTGGTTGCTGGCAGCCACCAATGCCAACAGCTTGTTGTGCAGCTCTGACTCTGAGCAGCCAGGGCAGTTTTCCAAAGGCGCCCTGGTGGCTGGCAGAGATTTCAAAACAGCAAGAAATCAGGTGTGTGTATGTACATGAGAAGCAGGGGTGGGAAGGGTTGGTGAATTTGCTTCAGCAATAATATTTTCATTATCAGATAAAATAGATAAGTTTGCAAACCTGTTTAAAAGGAGACTGGGTTATTCTTGTAAAAGATTACATTATTCACTGAAGACATTATTTTTTCTTTATTTCATTTTTAATTGCTTTTATCATCAGAGAAAACAAAACTATTTTCATTTAAAAGAATAGTGGAATACTGGCAAAATACAAGTCGTGAAGAAATGTTTTGGGTGTGCCCTGATTTAAAGGCAGAAACTAGAGAAGCTAAAACTGTAAGCAAACACAGTTTTAGAAAACTGATTTTTAAAATTATATCATGAGACAAATGTTCAGAATCCTCTGACTTGTGTAATAACCTTTTCTAGAAGCATTTCTAGCTTCTTCACTAAAGAAAAAGGGCAATACTGTCAATGTTACATGGTCACTTTGACCATAACAAACAGAGCAGTTGTGAATACATCTGATGAAACATACCAACCTTACTATGATTTCTGAAAGTCTGATTAATTCCTAATGTCACCAAGAACACTATATCCCTCTAATTTAACTGGTGTAAGAAAACCCCATTTTCTTTAAAGCTTTTTACTGGATTTGTCTCCTCGTAAAAAAGTGCAGACACAATAATAAAGGAACCAGTATTGTTGGGCTGATGCAACAGTGCTCAGACAGATCCATATTAATCCCAGCTGGCGGCTTCAGGTTTGGGACTCTCTAGATTGCAAAGGTATTCAAGAACACTCACTGTGCTCAACAGTGTGTGTTAGAAGGTTGGGGCAGTGCGCTCTATCCAAGTACATTACTACTTCTACAGTAATGATTCAGATGCACACACTAGGTATGTAGCTTTAAAAACATCCTCATCGGAAAATCCTGTCTCCCGCACGTGTGAAACAGAAACTGTATCACGCCCTAGTACTTGATCTCCATCCCTTAGAAGTATCATACTTCCTTAAGGTTGTCCAGAAGTATCAGGAGACAGGTTGTTTGTATTTGTTCTAGATTGTTCCCATCTAGAACCCTAAGGACAGCAGCAAGCTAGACAGGAAAGAATAGACAGCTGTCTGATCCTGCTTGTTATGGACACTAACTATGCCACCTTAAAAATGCCCTAGGTACGCAGAAATGAAGTTGAAATGCCCCATGTGCCAGTCTTCCAGAGTGACAGCATACCTGTAACCGCTGAACCACACCTGCTCGCAGGTTTCCAAATCCGTAGTGACACTGTGAGAGCAGAGCACTTTCTGAGACCTCTTCATAGGGAGTCTGCTCAATTTCCCAGTCAAACTCTGCATCCTCATCGTCAGCTCCTTCCTCAGAAACCCCAGAAGCACCTAAATGTGTTAAACATTAATTTCTTCCTTAGAGTCCTGAGGTCTCTAGTACAATGAGAGGAAGAAGTTGCTATAGGGAAAAGACCTACTACTGTGCACCAAAGGCATAGACAAGAACATTCACAGCTCCACTGCTCATGGTGGTCAAAAACTGGAACCAGCCAAAAAAAATCACCAACAGTAAGGGGTACAGATCAATTCACAAAATCATCTACCACACAGTGACGAAGGTGTATATATATGGACCTCAGCTGTAACAGATACAGCTCATAAGGACCCTGAGTACAAGAAGCCAGGTGAAAAGAAATATACTCTAAAGAATAATTATGTATGCAGCTCACAATCAGGCAAAGGGAGGGTACTGGTGGTCTAGGCAAGAACAGGTACAGTGCCTGGGAAGAGCATGGGCGATCCAGGATAGTGGAAATAAACAAACACTACAGTTCATGCCCTCACATGTGCTCATACTACACAACATTTTCAACTATACACTTCGGATAGGACAGTGTTTTAATTGATAAAAGAAAAACTGTGTCTGGTCTACTGGTCCACTACTGGTTATTACTTGTAAATGATACCAGAAAAGTTATTTTCACAATAACTTGAACCTTTCCTTTTTCTTTTATTCTCGTGAACTTTTGTTTTCCTCCAATCTTCTAGCCCCAAGTCTCTTTCCCTAGAAACACAAACTATTACAAATATTCCCACTTATCTTCATTTCCTCCCAACTACAGTCAACATACCTATTTCTTCCACAAGTGGTTTTGCAGACCTGGATTTTCTTGGGGCCAGAAGAGCAGTTAACATGTTCAGCCCCTCAAAACGCTGGCCAGGAGTTTCCTTTGGTAATCGAATGGTAAAAATTCCTTTAAAAGAAATTGTTTTATATTTAGACAGATTAAAATATTCAAAGACTTCATAAGTGTATATAAGAGAAATGCAAGTATATGTAATAGATAATTCTTTAAGGAAAAACCTTTGCTAATTATATAACTGAAGAGAATTAATATGTATTACATATGAAGAACTCAAAACACAAAATACTCAGGCTGGAAAAATGTTGGTAGTGTTTCTCAGACAATAGTAGGGATCTAAGTTTGAACCTCTAGCACATATACAATAAACTAAATACCACATCAAATACCTATAATCCCAGTGCTATAGAAGTAGAGATACTTCTATACTGGGATTTGCTGGCCAAGCTGAAGCAGCAAGCTCCAGGTTCAATGAAAGACCTCGTCTGAAAAATGAGATGGATTGTAATGGAGAAAGATAGTCTAAGTCAACCTTTGATCTACACTTGAACACATACACAGGTATAAACCTGTAAAAGGCTTTCTTTTGGGCCACCAACCAGCTTCCAAATCATGACCCAGAGACTTATTAGTTATGAATACTCAGCCTTAGCTTATGCTTGTCCCGCTAGCACTTGTAACTTAAATTAACCTGTTTCTCTTCATCCACATTTTGCCTCAGGGCTTTTTACTTTTTTCATTCTGTATGTACTATTTTCCTGCTTCTTCTGTGTCTGGCTGGTGGCTGCCTGGCTAGCCAGCCAGGGGCCTCTCCCTCACTTTCTCCCTTGTTCTCTCTTTTCTCCAGACTGGATTCCTCCTCCTACTTATTCTCTCTGCCTGCCAGCCCCGCCTATCCCTCTACTGCCTAGCTACTGGCTGGTCAGCTTTTTATTAGAACAACCAGATACCTTAAGCAGGCAAGATAAAACAGCAACACATCTTTACATAGTTAAACAAACACAGCATAAACAAATGTAACACATCTTTACATAGTTAAATTAATATTCACTAATATAACAAATGAATTATCTTTACACAGTTAAAGTAATCACAACACAAACCACACTTACATACATATACAAAGAAATAGAAAAAAAAAAAAAAAAAAAAAAAAAACCCAACCACCCAACCAAATGGCAAATGAACACATGAAAAAAAAAAATGTTCAGCATTCTTAGCCAATAAGAAAATGGAATTAAAAGTACATTGAGATTCCATCTCAGCTCAGAATGGCTCTTACAAAGAAAACACAACAGCAAATGGTAGAAAGATACACAGAAAAGTAACCCCTTATACCCTGCTGGTGGGAATATAAACTAATTTTACCACCTTGGAAATAAGTAAGGATGCCTCCAGAATACAAAATTAGAATTACCATACAATCCAGCTACCTCTCCTAGGTATATACCCTAAGGAGTCCAAGTCATCACACCACAGAGACACCTATACATCTAAAGTTCCTGCAGCAGATTCACAACAGCCAAGTTATGAATTCAGTCTAGGTGCCTATCAGCACACACAAATAAAAAATGTGTTATCTACACAATGAACCTGTACTCAGTCATAAAAAAGAATGAAATGATGTCATCTACAAGAAAATGAATATAACTAGAGATCATATTAAGCAACGTAAGACAGATGCAGGGCAAACAGACTGTATCTCATTTGTGGACCAAAGTCTTTTCATAGATGCATGAACAAATAGACAGATGACACAGATGATATACATGTGCATGTGTGCGTGCGTGCGTGTAAGGGCATGTCCCTGTGTATGAGACATGAAAGCATATGGAAACTAGGGGCAAGGACACTAGCAGGAGACGAAAGGAGAGAGAAGGGAGAAAGGAAAAAATTTGGGGTGGTAAATATGGTCAAAATATATGATATACTTGAGAGAAATTGTTTTCATGAAGCTTAACACCTTCTGCAATGAATATATAAAACATTTTTAACTATTTATAAACATAATTCCTCATTGTGCTTCAAAATTTGGCCCTTATTATAGATTTAATGACTATAAATCAAGGTTTAAAGTAGAAAGTCTTTTAAAAGGCTGTTCTAAATCTGTCACTTCAATCAGAAATCAATATGTCCAATACTACAATGCTTTAGAATTGCTTAACACCATCTTAACCTAGTCAAAATATCAAAACTCAAAGAGTTTCTAAAATTCAGTGGCCTGAGGAGGTAATAACATTAACCAAAAGTTACTTATAAAATATATTTCTGGACTAGGAGAGAAATTAGAATAGCTTATCATAGGATAGCAGAGGCATTAAAGCTACACTAAAGTAATTACAGTTTAATAATTGCTTTATTAACTCTAGAGGGTTTTTTTGTTTGTTTTTTGTTGTTGTTTTTGTTTTGTTTTGTTTTTTGAGACATCCTTACTATGTAGCCCTGGCTAGCCTCAAACTCACATGAAATGATGTTCCTACGTTAGGCTCCTGGGCACAGGATTACAAGTGTGTGCTCTTACTTTCAGCCTATTGTTTTAAACATTTTACCTCTTTCAACACACTGACATATAATCCAATATATCAAATGCAACTCAACCCAAATACCCATATATTACAACTCTTCAACTCTGAGAACTTTATAGTTTTATTTTTTAAGGCTATGTATGTATGTATGTATGTGATTTACTAGTGCCTATGCAAACTACAAGAGGGTGTCAGATTCCCTGGAGTTGTACTGCAAATCAGAAAGTAAGATCCTCTGCAAAAGAAGTATATGCAATTAACAGCTGAGCTATCTCTCCAGCCATGAAGTTTACTAATTTCATTGTTATAGTAAGTTGGCAATTAAAGGTAGACCCCATAAGCTAATATGGCGGCTTCCTTATATTATCATTTTCACATCAGTTATATTGCATTATGAGTGAGAAGCTGATTGTAAGTTTCTTTAGTCTCATTTTCCCTAGTTCACTGGTCAATAGTTACTGAGTAAATTATGTGAGCGTACACAAGCTACACTTTTTAAATTTAAGAAATTATTATTATTGTGCATGCATGTGGGGTGTATTTGTGCTATGATTTCTGTGTGGCAATCAGAGCACAGCTTTGAGGAGGCAGTTTTCTCCTTTTCTTTTACATGGTTCTGGAAACCAAACTCAGGTTGACAGGTTTACTAGACAAGCGCCTTTACACACTGAGCTACCTTGTTGGCCCTATAAGCTGTTCTTACTCCAAACTCATTGACAAAGGAAAAGACAATAGTTTGTAGAAGAACAAAATTAACCAGTTTTATGGCTGGCTGGCTAAAATAGGAACTTATCAATCATGAAAAGAAAATTCAATTACTCTTTAAATTTCTTCCATGGATAATTTCTCATCTACCTGTTATTAAAATTCAACTTTGAAAACTGTAAAAGAAAAATTCCATTCAAAAGCTCCTAAGTCATACCTACTTTAAAATCAATCAGTTCATGTTGATGTTTACTTTTACACATGTGCCAAAAGTAGAAACAATTCCAGAAAATGAAACTAACACTTGATTCAAATTCACTTTAAAGACTATTGAAAATACTTTAAAAGACAGAACACTGCTAACTGCCCAAAATCCAGATAACAGGCGCTAAGCATTAAAGAAAGAGTTATGCATCATACAGCAATTGCTAGACATCTAAAAGTCCCCATGGTATCTTTAAGAACTACTACTATGTGGCTACAGCAACATTAGGAATCCACAAAACCCTAATCAAGACTGGGCCTATGGCTCAGTCAGTAAGACACTTGCCATACAAGCAGGAGGACCTGAGTTTGATTCCCAGAACCCAAATAAAAACACAAGGTGTAGTGGAGCATGTTTGTAATGCTGGTGCTAGGAAGACAGAGATGGGTATTCTTGAGACTCACGGCCCAGCCTGTCCAGCCTGAGAAGCAAAAAGCAAGTGAGAAACCCTGTTAAAAAGCATTCTTCCAGATGCTATCAGAGGTTGTCCTTTGGCTTCCATTTACACATGCACACACATGAACCCCCATACACACATATACACAAGCCCCTCCCAACACACCCACCTACACCTAGATATGCTGTTGTATAGTACTATTCTCGGAGTCAAACTGCTCCCATCTTCAGCTACGGAGGCCATGCTCACAAAAGGTCATCACAGCTGAACTATTTTATCTTGTTTCACAGAAGGGGGGGTGTGAGGGGAGTCATGGGACCCTCACCTGACTATTCAGCCACTCCCCATTCCCAAATAGTGTATGATAGATACAATTCTGTCCCAACTGCACGGGGTTATGGAGGAGGGGCTAGAGTATAGGATGAAGGGAGGGAATTGAACTTATGAAGTCCTGGGGAAGCCATACAGACCTTCCACTCTGGCTACTTTAGGATCACCTATGCTCCTTTACCACTGCACTCTCTGTAACCCTAATAAACTCAATAGTTCCCCCAGGGGACTTTGATGGAATCACACCTAGTTTGTCAATGAGACCTTAGGAGAGGTAGAACTTGTCTCTTGGGAAAGGAATTTTATCAACAGAAGCATATACACACATAAAAAATATAGAAAAAAGTGTCCAAAATCTCCAAGGCCATACCTTTATCTGCATCATAGGACCCCTGCTCACTTCCATTTTCTACGATCCTTCCAGGAAGTGTTAATCTGCAGATTTAACACAAGGTAAGTGATCACCAATCACAGTACATTTTTAGCGATCAAAATCTATCAACCATTTGAATGGCAATTTTTCAGCACGTCTTTCATATTTTACAAGCTAAATAACTTAGATTCCTTCTTCAACTAAGAGAGTAAAAATCAAATATGATACACCTTTCCATTTTAATACTTTAGCTACCAGTAGTAAGACTGGGGGACGGGGACCTCACAATAAACTTCACAAATGCCGTTATGTTTGTTCTGCTTTGTTTTTAACTTAATTTATAAATAAAACAACATCTAAGGTTTGTGGGTATAGGGGAAATAGTTTATACAGGGTCCATTACTATCCATGGTTTCGATACCCATTGAGTCTTGGAAATATCTTCCATAGGTAGGGGTACTGGGTTTTCAAGATGGCATGCTAATTAATATCTAATGTGTTTCCCTCAAGAGCAGTGAAGAAACCAGCTTGACTGCAGGGGAGGGGTCAGTTGGAAAGCGGAGGGCAATGCATGAGCAAGTTTTGGAAGACTCACAGCGTCCACTGCACAAGGGGGTTAACAGCACTGCCTACCTATCTCAAAAGTATGGCTATAAGATGTTGCACATCCAAGCACTTAAGACGCTGCCTACCTACCACACCAAAGGTGGCCCCAGCGTCAGCTGCCACTACTGTTTTGGTTCAACACGGAGAAAAATCCAGAGGGACAAGTGCTAAGTGCTGCTTGCCTCTCATGGCAGCAGGGCAGCAATTGACTAATCAGATGCGAAGGGAACCTGAGAACTAACTGCAGGAATCAGAGGACTGTCCTCCAAGAGGCGGACTCGGGAAGCATGCGGGCGTGTGTCAAAACACCGACCCACGCGGGGAAGACACCGCGCAGCGCAGAGAGCAGCACAAGACGGGAAGGACCAAGGACGAGAGTAACTGGACCGACACACTGGCTGGGTGGCCCCGTGCTCTGTGGCGAGACCCGCAGGCACGGAAGCAGGGGACTGCGCGGCAGGCAGACGGCGCGCCAGGCAGAAGCCGCCAAGGCAGCAGCGAGACCCGCGGGTGCGTCCGCGAGGCACGGACTAACTAACTCATGAGCGTAGCGCGCAGGCGGCGGGAACTCGCCTCAGAAAGTACGGCTTGGCGTAGAACTTGAAGTCCACCCCCTCAAAGTACACGTCGAACTCGGAGGCGCGCGCGTGCGGGATGCGGATGGCGACCGTGAGGAAGTCGCTGTCCTGGCTCAGCTCGAACGCGGGGGTCAGCATCGCCGCGCGCGACCGGGGCCACCACGGGCCCGATACGCACTCGCCGGGTGCCGGAGCACCAGACCCACGCCGTCTGCTTCGGCGCTTCCGGCCCGAGGCGGAAGTGGCTACGCGTGGGGCCGGAAGTCCCCGCCTGCGCCCGTCTCCTTGGAGATGAGACGCTTTCTCTGACTAGGCGGAGTTTTCAAACTGGCTAGAAAAGGAAAAGGTTGCCCTGGAGACGGGAAGGGAAATTTTGGAGGAACTGGAAATCTAACCCGGAAATTTGCCGACTGGCCCGAACACCAGTTCTCTTTAGACTCACAAAGGACCCGTGGAGAGGCTTAGAAATTCTTTTAATCGCCTCGGCTTTTCAAGTTAACAAAGTGTATTTGAATTTCCAATTGTACGACTACAAACCTACATATTTCAGAGATGTCTACTATAGAAGGAGGATATATTAGTCCAACCTCCTCAGATGCTGCTAGGATAGCATGAAGTTATCCAGGAGGAGCGCTGTACCCTCAAGTGGCCAGCACTCAGCAAGTAGGAGCAGATTCTTCAGTAGCCACAACTACTCTCTGAGGTTTCCTTAAATTCTCACCTAAAGTGCCAAAAAAAAAAAGGCCACTAATCCCCTCCCTCAGCTTCCTCTCCCCTTCAGTATCCCTTCTTCGAATAGTTTTCTCGTTTACAGAGCATCAGTCCTCTAATCTACACATTACAAACTCCCAGGAAAAGTGGGCTGAGGGGGTTTTAAGAGGATCAGAATCCAGATGCTTTGTCAGTGCCCATTCTCAAGAATGTGCTCCCTTCTTAATTTTCCTGTTTTCATTTTTCTCTATTTTCTTACATGTGTCAGAAGCTGTCTTTTTTCTTTTCTCAAGTACTCATTTTTTGTTCTTCTGTGATCCTCACTCTCACAATCAATGCCTTTCCCACTAGTCTCCCTCTTCCCTCATGTATTCTCTTGGGCTTCCTTTCCTCTCCCTCCTTTTACTTGGAAGAACGAGCACAGCCCAAATCTAGTGTCGCACTGGCTAGTTCTATGTCAACTTGACACAAGCGAAAGACATTTGAGAGGAAGAACCCTTAATTAAGGAAATGCCTCTATAAAATCGGGCTGTAGGCAAATGTGTAGCGTATTTTCTTGGTGATTGGTGGAGGATATCCCAGCCCTGTGTGGTCGGCGGCATCTCTAGGCTAGTGGTCCTGAATTCTATTTAAAAAGCAAGCTGAGAAAGCCATGAGGAGCAAACCAGGAAGCAGCACTCCTTCGTGGCCTCTGCATCAACTCCTGCCTCCAGGTTCCTGCCCTGTTTGAGTTCCTGTCCTGATTTCCTTCAATGATGAACAGCCATAAAAAATAAGCCAAATAAACCCTTCCCTCCTCAATTTGCTTTGGTCACGGTGTTTCATCATAGCACTAGTAAGCTGGCGACAAGTATGAATTACCTGTTTGTGAATGTCAGGGGAATAGTTGGGCTCAGTGGCTTGCACCTATAGTCTTCTCACCCACAGGAAGCAGAGGCACGATGATTGTTCAAGTTTTAGACTAGGGTCACCTATATAATGAGTTCCAGGCCAGATTAGGTGTCCTACTTTGCTTTTTATTGTGATCAAGACCATGCCCAAACCTACTTGGGAAGAAAAGGGTTTGTTTGTTTCCTTCTAGGTCACAGTACATCCCCCAGTGAAGTCAAAGTAGGAGTTTGGGCAGGAATTAAAGCAGAGACCATGGAAGACCACTACTTTCTTGCCTGTTCAGCTTGCTCCTTTATATAACCCAGGGCCACTTGCCCCAGGGTGGCACCACCCAAGAAGGCTGGGCCTTCCCTTGTCAATCAGTAACCAAGAAAATGCCCCCATAGATTTGCCTTAGGCCAATATGATAGATAATTTCTTAATTGAGGTCCCCTCCTCCCAGATGACCCCAACTTGTACCAAGTTAATAAAAAGAAACAAACTAACTAACTAACCTGCACTCTGGGCTACACAGTGAAACTGTGCCACAAGACAACACTAATAAGAACAAAAACAGATAGTCTATGACAGTAAAGATCCCCAGATATCCATAGAAGCCTTCCTGACATCTGGCTTTTGATAATTCTAAGGAAACAATCTTGATATTTAGTTGGGACACAGGATAAAAATGTTAGCTGGATTCCTGGGTATGTAGCAGAACTACAGTAACCTTGTTTTGATTCTTTTTTTTTTTTTTTTCTTTTCCTTCCTGGACCTCTATGAAGAAGCCATTTATATTCTGTTCACTTGCACATGGTCACACAATTTATTAGAGGCTCAATGGGAACTGAAACCAAGAATAGCCTCATTCCTAGGTCCTAGCTCCAAACCACTAAAGAGCTAAAACCTCTAACCTTACCACTTACATCTTGATTTCATACTCTAAGGCCATGTCTGCTGGCTTTAGACCACATGGATCCTTAAAAGTAATAGTCTGTTCTGACAATGAATTGATGCCAATCTGGGATCAGTAAAGCCCTTAAAAGATTCCCCTGAGATGGCCTTGGACCAATTACTCCAAACACACTTCCCTGGAAAGAGTCTTTATATCTACCATGGGACCCCATTCCTGTAAGTCACAAGCATTAATATTTTTTAATTATTCATGCCTGGGAATTTAATGAAACAAGCTCTGCTCCCCAGCCCTGCTAACTTAAAACACTTTACAATTCAAGTTATACTTTTCGTGGGTATTTGATTATATATTTGGGAGAGAGGGGGAGAGAGAGAGAGAGAATATGAGTAAGTACTAGATCACAGAAAAACGGGCTATATGGTTCAATACTTTTGTTCTGTAGTAGTAGGAATTTTTATATCTGCTGTAACAGAAATAGTTATATAATGGGGTTTGTCATGTAGGGAAAGGGAGGAGGAGTTTGGTTCCTTTTTCCTTTGTAAACAGCTCTCCTTATTTTTTTAATTTTAATTTCAATGCATGGGTGTTTTGCCTGAATGTGTATCTGTGCCATTTGTGTGTCTGCTGCCTGTGGAGGACATCAGATCCCCTAGAACCAGACTTACAGGCAGTTGTGAATCACCATGTGTGTGTCAGGGACTGAACCCAGGTCCTCTGGAAGAAAAGTCACTGCTCTTAACTGCTGAGCCAACTCTCCAGTTCCAGCTCACTTTATTCTTGCATTTATGATTAGAGCTAAGCTATACAAATCATTCTCCTTTATAAATGTGAAGTCCTCTCTTAGCTGATGCACAGCTTTGACTCTCTTTCTCCAAAGGTAATTATTCCATCTACAAACATTCCCATGTAGACCCATTTCATAATTTTTCCTTACTAAGGACAAGTATATAGCCTTTGTTTATATTAAAGTATTCCCTCTTCTAATCTAAAGGAACATGACTATGGCCCATGAGTTTCAAAAGTAAACATTAAATTTAAAAGACAAGTTTTTTTCCCCAAATCTTTATTTTTTTTTTTAAACTGGAAAATAGTTTGTTTTCTCACATAATATATCCTGATTACTGTTTTCCCTCCAGGCACTCCTCCCAGTTCCTCCCCTCCTGTCTGAATCCACTCCCTTTCTGTCTCTCAGGAGGAAAGAAAAGCATTTTAAGAGTCAACAATAAAATATAACAAAATAAAATATAATAGGGTAGAGGAAAAATTATCACATTGGAGTTGGAGAAGACAACTCTTGGGCTTGGGAAAAGAGCACAAGAGAAGGCACAAGAAGCAGAGACGCACTCGTTCACACACTCAGGAGTCCCATAGAAACATTAAACTGGAAGCCACAGTGTATTCGCCGAGGACCCGGTACAGACCTATGCAGGCGTATCTGAGTTTAAACGGGCTCTGCTTGTGTAGATTTAGAGGGCCTTGTTTTCCTTACGTCCTCCTTCCCCTCCGGCTCTTATAGTCTTTCTGCCTCTCTTCCAGGGGGTTTCCTGAGCTCTGAGGGGAGGAATTTAATGGAGATATCCCACTTAGGGCTGAGTTTATAAAAGACAAGTTTTTATAAACAATTCTGATTGTCCTGTACAGTCTCCAGATGGTGAAATACCGCTTGCGTCCAGAAGGTGGCGAGCACCTAGGAGATTAAAACAATGCTAACTCAAAACAGCAGATTGTAACCTTGTAGTTTAAAGCAGATAAGGCTGTTTCTCTGAGCAGTTTGAGGGAGGTAGTAATCTCTTACACAGAACTTCAAGATAAACCATTGTTACTGTGTTTCATTTTGTTTATTGCTTTAAAATGTTTATTACTTTCTTAAGAAGACAACATCTCAATCTGTAGGCCAGACTCCTCTTAAATTCTCTATATAGCCTAGGCTGACTTTAAACAGCAATCTTTCTACCTCAGCCTTGAGTTCTGATTACAAGCCACCACACCCAGAAAATCCTGTTAATTTTTTTGGTAGAAACCCTTTAAACTTTTACTCTATTTAAAGAAGTACAGAAAGACCTTTACAATAAAATGGTATATATTCTATACTTCTTTTAATTATCATAGCATTAAAGCATTTCCCTTCTATTATAATTTTACTAAAACTGTACATAATTGTATCCTTCTTAGTTTCTAGCATTAATGCTGGCATTTTAAAAAGGTGAACCGAATGAAGCAATGATTCATTTTGAGAAAGAAACTAATGCTAGAACCATGAGCACACATTACAAAATAGTTAAAATGCCAACTTATTCTTTTCCTTAGGGTGCCATTTTTTTGTTTTTGTTCTTGTTTTTTTGAGTGTGGGACACACCCTATAGCCCTGATTTGTCCTCCTGCCTCAGCTTTTGAGATAGTTGAACTACAGAGCATGAACCACAACACCCAGGCCAAATTAGGTAACATTTGGGTAAAGACAGAGGTAGCTAACAGATAAATGTAGTCTGGTTAAAGACACTTAAAAACAGTGGCAGTTTGAATGAGAAGGGCCCCCGTAGGCTCATGTATTTGAATGTTCAGTCCCCAGTTGGTAGAACTAGGGGTGGGCTTTGAGGTTTCAAAAAAGCCTATGTCAGGTCCAGCCTCTCTCTCTCTCTCTCTCTCTCTCTCTCTCTCTCTCTCTCTCTCTCCCTCTCCCTCTCCCTCTCCCTCTCTCTCTCCCTCTCCCTCTCTCTCT